GCATAGGCACTAAGACGGATGCCGAATGTAACTTTGTCACAAGCAATGCTTTTTCCTCCATTTCATGCATCAGACTGTCAATTTTCTCGTAATTTTCATTTTGATAATAAAACTTGAGAAAAGATTGTAAACCAGAGGATATTTAGCCAACCCAAATCCCTCTCTTGCATGGTGGCCTCTGCTCCTCCAAAGATTTTTCATTCACATAGCAGTTGAGAAGAGTGCCATAAACCTCATGGCCCCTTAACTGATTGGAATGTTATTAAAATAATTTCTGCTTGCTCTATCCCCTTAACTTTATGGATCAAATCTAGCCGAGTGGGCCATATCACCACATTAAGCACGAGGTATCTTTTGTCGGTCATCCACATAGACATCTGAACAACAGAGAGACAGAAAGATTAGTCTTAGACATGTGAAAACAATAAAATGACAAAATGAAGTAATATCTTTGCAAATAACATCAAACTAGTATGGCACTACAACTTGTGGGTCCAGTTATCTGTTCTAGATCAAATTTTTATGAACCTCTACAAATCCAATTGCCAAATTTTTAGAATAATTAGTATGATCAATTCAGTAATTTCAAGTGAAATATAGTAGTAGATTTGCCATAGCTTGACAATTCAAATACTCTCGATGGATGTATTGAATTAGGATCGACAAACAATCATAAACCATGGGAGAATCAATAGGGACACCGACCAAAAGAAAAAAAACACATAGTCGTAAAACTACTAATGAAATAGAACCTGATTCAAATTCCAAGGATTCATTAAATAATTACACTAATAAGAGTAGAAATGAAAATTTCTGCAATTGATGACCTATAGCATTACCATACCCAAACTTTTCTCTTCAACTGCCACCACCTATATATCCATCTATAGCCATTACCATCGAGAAATGTAAAAATAACTTTGTTCGTCCACTTCCTCCTGACTTATTTTGTTCTTTTATAGTTGAAGCAAAAAGTTTCTAGAACTCAAGACTAATGGAGCCTAAGAGAGACTTAATACTTTCCAAATGGACACATTATATCATTGTGAACCATATCAATACCAATGCTCGTGAAACAACTCAATTCTTATGCTAACACAGAATCTTTTAATACTTTTCAAATGAACCCGTTATAACCATTCTGAACCATATCAACACCAATGCTGCGAAACAACCCAATTCTTGTGCCACATAGAACCTTGTTTGTAGGTCCAATTACAAAAACTTCTTAAATTGCTATGCAAACACTAAAAAGAAATAATATCAAAACTCAATGTTTTATCTCCATCAATTCCAAAGTAACACGACAAAACCTAATTAAACAGAATTAATTTGTTTCTTTTCTTTAATTACCAGCGGATTCAGCTAATGCAGAAAAACAAACCAGAGAATCCCTGATTCTGGGTATTCTTAAACTTCATTCAACTTCTCTAATGAACTTCAAGGCAATTTCTTAAGGTAAATATTTTCAAAAAGTATAAATATAAATAGAAATTATAAAATATATAAACATCAATAGAGATTATATTTTTTATTTTAATACCTGGAGAGCTTGACTGTATCGTTTAAAGGACCGCAAACCGTTTGATGAAGTCTCGGAGCTGTAATTGGTCTACGGTTCGTCCTTCTTGGACCCACTGATCCAGCATCGGAACATCGAGACCTTCGGATCTCCCAACGGCGAGATCCGACGGAACAGAGCGTTCATTGAGTTTGAAATTCCGCGTCTCCACTTTGGTCTTAGGTTTCCTGTAGCTGTCGAGTATGAAGAAATACTCGAAACGTTTCGATTGCGGAGTTGAGAGCTGACGCTTTCAAGAATTGTACGCAAGCGTACAAGCTTCATTTTCTTTAACAGTTTCGTAGAATCGGAGAGCGAAATGTGAAGGTGAAGTCGAGAGGATGTTGCTCACGCAGGGTTTAAGGGTTTTTGGCTCTTCTTGGGTTTTTTAAAATTAAAAAGTGTTTTTTTTTTTTTTTTTTAACTGCTAACGAACTATTATCTGTATACCAATTGTGACCCGACCATACATTGGGAAGACCTGGAATTGAATTGAGTGTTTGGGCTGAAATGTTTTCGTCTAAAATAGCATGCAGAGCATCTCAACCACGTCAAATTGGCGCAAAAAACACCAATTTGGCGTGGGTTGATACTCCAACCCACACCAAACACTGCATCATTTTGGAATTTGGCGAGGTACTGTAGCACTGCGTCAAATGGCGCGGTACTGTAGCACAATAAAAAATATATATTTTTTAATTTTGATTTTTTTGATTTTTTTTATTTTGTTAAGTTAATTGAGTATTAAATTTTACGCAAAAATCATACAAATTTGAGTATTTGTATTTAATTTAATTTGATTATTTTATAATATGATATAATTTAAAAAATGTAAATTAAAAATAGAACTTATTCAATGTAATTAATGAGTGAAATAAATATTGTGATTATTACAATAAAAGAAAAAAAGAATATTCTAAAGAATATTTTTTTGGTGCAATATTTGGTGTTATGGGTTGGAGATGGAATAGTATTTTGCACCAATTTAGTGTAATTTTGCACAAATTGGTGCAATGGGTTGGAGATGGTCTAATAAAATATCCCTGACACTAATAGACGTGCTTAAAACCACCCAACCCAACCCTATCCGATCAGTTTAATAGAGACTAGGGCTGGAAAAAAAAACCAAACCAAAATATCGGATCGAACAAAAAAAATTGGTTTTTAAATTAAGTGTTCGGTTTAGTTTATAAAAATAATTAACCGAATTTTCGGTTCGATTAACGGTTTAAGGATATATATTAAACCGGTTTTGAAAAAAATAAAAAAATAAAATATCCCTTGGTTTCTCCACGCAAAGACTCTTTTTTTTCACTATTTTTTCTTTCACTATTCATTGCTTTCTCCTTCTTTTTCATTTTTCTTCACATTTCGTTTTCTTCTCTTCCTCTCCTTACCAACTATTTATCTTCTTTGTTCTTCTCCTTTCACTGCTTTCTCCTTCTTTTTTCAGTTTTTCTTCACTTTTCGTCTTCTTCTTTCCTCTCCTTCACCAATTCTCTTTCTTTTTTCGTCTTCTTCTCTTCATCTCCTCCACTTTCCTTTTCTTTTTCGTTGTTGTATCCTTTCACTTTTCTGTTGTTTTTTTTCTTTTTCGTCTTCTCCATTCTTCTCTTTCACTACTTTTCTATTTAGATTTAGATAAGAAGCGAGAAGAGAACACCAGATTGGACTTCAGCCTTTTCTCTTCATCGTTTGGTAAAGCATATTTTAATTCAAGTAAAAAAAGGAAAAATTGAAAAAAAAAAAATGGGCTAAAGTGGAGTGTGACCGAATTGGGCCGAAGACCCACAAATTGTCAAGTTTCACCCTAAGTTGATTATTAAAACATGCTAATAGAGGAGGCCACTAGGGTTCTTACCAACTGACCGTCAGAGTCTCTGGATTAATTGAGGTGTATACAAACTGATCCGGACAACTCCGATAATTACAAAAAAAAAAAAAAAATACAAAATTTTTTTACAATCTTTTTATTAGGGGTGTTCAAAAGACCTGTTGAAATGGAATCAGTGGGTACTCGGGATTTGGTTCTGGTTCCTACCTAGAACCGACGTCAACGGGTAGGTTCTGGTTTCAAATTTTGGAACTGACTGTGCGGTTCCGATTCCGGTACTATAGTTAGGAACCAGAACAAAACTAGGAACCAGAAACCAAGACTAATATAAATAAAAAAAGATTAAGGGGGTAAATAAAAACTTTTGTAGAAAAAGTAATGTGAATACATTTATATTTATATTTCATAACATTTAAAGTAAGTTGGTTTGACTTTAAGAACCTCCCTTTACAAGGTAATGGAGTTTGTATTGAATTTAAATTTATAATTTATTTTGTAACAAGTGCCTGGTGGGGGGGATATTTGTAAGTTTTTAAGGGTTTTTTTTGCCATTTTAAAATCTTTTGGGGGGTCATGAATTTTACAAGGTACCTAGAACCAGAAACGCAACCGGAACCGTTGTTACAGGTTCTTTTCTGGGTACTTAGGAACCGAAACTGTCGGTTCCAGTTTGGTTCCAAATTTAAGGAATCGTCGATTCTGATTCCTTCAAAAAATACAAAGAACTCGGAACCGAACACCCTACTTTTATATAACAAAGAGCTTGTGGATATATCAAATTACCCTAACATGAAAAATAATTTGAGCATTTAATTGATAAAAGGAAAGAACATATTTCGATTTTCCTTCCACCCCCCACCCCCCACCGGCGCTAATTTGTTGGAGTTAAAACACTTATCTCTTGCAGGTTTACAGAATCACATTAACACCCCTAAGATTTCAGAATTTGAATGAAAGGATTGCTTTACCTCTTAACAAAACTGGGCATGAAATACATTCTCCATGGCAGAAGATAACCATGTCCACAAAATACTTTGTTTTTTTTTTTTTTTTTAATGAAGCATAGCTTCCAGAAAGTTGAATATTTTTTTCAAATTCATATTCAACATGTTTCCTGTTCTTTTACTGAGTCATCGTTATCAACCTCGGGGCTCGGGCACTGAAAGTGCTCTTGCATCGTCAATCAAAGCATCACCATAAAACTTACAGAGTGCGTCAAAGTTTAACTTCCCATTCTGGACATTATTCAACCATTTTTCTTGGAGATCTAGAGATAATGTCCTTTTCCCTCAGCCATTTTATAATTTCTCGAATCCCTCTATGTCTTCTACTTCATCTTTTAAGAATTTCAAAGAGCCCACCAAGTCCATCCTTGGATTCCATGGTTTCGACAACCACCAACGCTTCCTTCATCGCCTCCACTGCCTCTAGAGTTTGATTAATCTTAAGATATCCTGTTGCCATATAAAACCATGTTCCAATCCCGCTTCACCCCTTCAATTTTCCCTTGCTCATAAGAGATTCAGCCTTCTGCAAAAGGCCTTTTCTACAGTAAAACCAATCAGAACTTTGGATACGGAAACATAGATTGAACTCTGTGATTCCCATTCCTCAAAAATCTTCTCAGCACTCTCCAGGTCATCAATTTAACAGAGATTTTAGATAGATATGAGCCTCTATTGTAAGCAGCAAAATTCTTCTTGTAGATTTCCCAAAGTCTTAAAACTTCATTTTCTGCCCAGTTGTTGCATACTGTCTTATAGAATTTCGTATGCTTTAGCAGCACTAGAGTGGCTTTTACGCGATATTAGTCCCTCAGATTTCTTCAGCATTTGCAAAGACTTGTCCAAAAACCCAGCTTTTGCATACCCACTAGCTGCAGTAGCATAAAGTTCCCAGTCTAAGAGAACAGTGGGATAGGATTCCATCAAGTTTACAATCTTGTCAATTCCCTCAACATCGGAGGCACCTGCATAGGCATTTAGAAGGATGCAAAATGAACTTTTGTTATAACCGATGCCTTTTTCTTCCATTTCACGTATGAGACAGTCAAATTTCTCGTAATTTCCAGTCTTATAATAAAGATTAAGCATAGAATTGTAAATCAGTGGTTCTACAGGCAACAATCCCAAATCACTTATTTCCTGCATGGTGGCCTCTGCTTTTTCCACAGATTTTGCATTGGCATAGCAGTTGAGAAGAGCAGAATAAACAGGAAGGCTCCTAAATTGTTTTTGAACGTTATTGAAATAGTTTTCTGCTTGTTCTACCCCATGAACTTTAGAAATCAAATCCAACCGAATGGCAACATCACCAGCTGTAAGTCGAAGGTATCTTTTGTCAGTCATCCACATAGATATCTGGTGTAGAGAGACAAAGAGATATCTTAGTGAGACACCAAAACAATGAAATGACTAAAATGAAGTAATCATATAAAGGCTAAGCATCTTTACAAATAACTTCAAATCAACATCACAGCTACAACTCCAGGTACAAATTGTATATGGTAGGTCAAATTTTATGATCACTTAAACTCTAAACACGGAATAATAAAATGTGATTATATCAGTCTATTTGAGAAAATTCAGGGTGAAAACACAGTCGTTGACTTGTAGTAGTTCAATCTATCAATTCCTTGATAAAATATGGATAACAAAGAGCAACAAAAAGCTCATGAACCAATTGCAACTATAAAATTACAAGTTAGACAAGGGGCAAAAAGATAAAATAATCAACCGAACCTCATGTAAGTTCCAAGGATAAGAACTGCACTAATAAGCCTAGAAGTGAAAGATTAAGCGATCTGTGCACCAAAAACTCGAAGAAGTTTAATAGCATGCCCAGTACTATCACTTTTCATTTTCTTAAAGGAATCTATATATTATTTTACTGATTCACCTTACATAAGCGGATACAAAATTTTAACCCACTTCCTCAGAATTTTTTATGAAATATATCTTATTTTTCTAATAGGAGACATACAAATTTGACACAACAACCAAAAATAAATAAATAAATAAATAAACACTTCTAAGAAAGTGAATCAAATTATGTCTCTACCAATTTTCAAGAAGATTTTCATAATTTCCTATACCTTTACAACGAATTTTAAAACTAATAAATTCAACACCTGTTTTAAGCAAATCAAGAACAAATCAAGCCCCATTAAACAATTATATATATATGAAGCCAGACGTTTCAGAAGTTTAAAACCATAAAAAATTGGAGAAAAGAAAATTTCAAATTTTGCTATGAATTTTAAAGATAAATACAATAAGGCGCTAAATAATTCTTAAAAATTAATTAATTTAAAATTTAATTAATATGTTAATACCTGAAGAGCGTGAGTGAATCGTCTGAAGGATCGCAACTCTTTGATGAAGAGTTGGAGCTGTTCTTTCTCTACGGTTCGTCCTTCTTGGACCCATTGATTGAGCAGGGGAACAATGGAGACCGTTGGGTCTCCCAGCGGCGTGATACGAAGGAACAGATCGCGCATTGAGTTTGAGTACGGGTTCGAGCTTCTCCGTTCTGTTGTGAGGTTTCGTGTTGCGGTTGAGTATGAGGAAGTTCTCAAAACATTTCCCAGACGAAGCTGAAAATTGATGCCTTCAAGGATTGTACGCGAGCTTACAAACTTCATTTCCAGGAAAAATTACACAGAGAGAGAGAGAGAGAAAGAGAGAAATGAAGAGATCAAGCGTGAAGGCAATCGAAGGGTTTAAGGGTTTTGGGTTTTTTGTTTGTTTAAAAAAAAAAAAAAAGTTATTTTGATTTTATTTTTAGGGATAATTACAGTAAAACCCAAAGGTTTAATCCAATTGTTAAAAAAAAAAAAAAAAAAAAAAAAAGTTATTTTGATTTTATTTGTAGGAATAATTACAGTAAAGCCCATAGGTTTAATCCAATTGTTGAGGAACACTGGTAGTTTCAGAAATAGGATGTTAGCCTGTTTTCTTTAATTTAATTGATATTTTCTATATTAACAAGGGTTATATAGAAGAGTATTTTAAAACCTATCCCGATCGGTTAAACCAGTTCAACTAGAACCCAGGGTCAAGTGACAAATTTTCCTAATCATTCAAAACCCTAAAAATTAGGACAATAATCTGTGAACAATTGAAGATAAAATGTTAAATTATTTTTTAATCATCTACATTTGTTAATTTAACCAAACAACATCGCACAAGAAAAGTTTATAAATTAACAAAAACACTCACATCCACCCAATTGACTGCTAGTCGACCACCACTGTCAGACAATGACCAACAATCGCCAGAATAAAGCATGACCAACTAGATCTAACCGGTAATACATCGATCTATCATTTTCCTATCAGATTCACCATGTATCTGGCCGTCGTTAACAATTATGTTTTTATTAATTTATAAACTTTTATTGTGAAAGGTAATTGTATATTTTGAATTGAATAGAATAAAATTGAATTTCAAATTGAATTATGTCAATATTAAAACAAATACGTTTTTTACTATTTACAATACGATAGGATAATGGAATAGAGATTTGAACAGTTAAACAAACTGGGGGGATAATATTCGTCAAACCTTTCCAAGGTTTAATAATAAAAATTTTCTTAAGTTTTTGAAATAACAAAATTATTATATTGTACAGTTAAGTTTTTTATGTTATAATAAACTGAAGTGTAAAAAAATTATCAGATCGATAAATTGGCTTATAATTATTATCCCAAACAAGACATGAAAAATATCTCATATAATCGCATTCAATAGAAGGCGTTAAACCAAAACCTTTGAGCTCTTTCTACAACCGGTTTCCAGATAGCGTCCAAGTTTGATTTCCCAACCCGAACATTGTTCAACAAACTGTTTTGGACATCCTCAGAGATAATATCCTTGTCCCTCAGTAATTTTATAATTTTCTCTGCTCCCTCCAAATCTCCTCTCTCTTTTAAGTATTCCAGAGAGGCAGCCCAACTTTCCTCATTTGGCTTCCACTGGTCACCACGAACAACTGATGCTTCCTTCAAAGTGTCCACTGCTTTTTCAGTTTGATTATCCCTCAGATATGCTGTTACAATATACAACCAAGTGCAGGGATCAGGCTTTCCCCCCTTCAATTTAACCCTGTTTATAAGAGTTTCAGCTTTCTGCAAAAGCCCTTTTCTGCAGTAAGCATCAATCAAGAGGTTAGGAATCCGAATATCATAGTGTTTACATTGGGATTCCCACTCCTCCAGAACCTTCTCTGCACTTTCCATGTCATCAAATTTCAAAAAGAGAAGGATGACACATCTATAGCCCCTATTGTAGACCTTCTTGTGTTCCTGTAGAGTTCCAAAGTCTTAAAACTTATCTTTCTTCCCACATGCAGCATATTGTGTGATAAGACAATCATACGGTTTACCGCTTGTCTCATCCGTTATTAATCCCTCAGATTTCTTCAGCATTGACAAAGCCTTGTCCAAAAGCCCAGCTTTACATACCCACTTGCTGCAATAAAGTAAGTTTTCCCATCTAAAACACATTGAATCGATTCCATCACGTCACAGTGTCTTCAATTCCTTTAACATCAGAAGTTGCTGCATAGGCACTCAGACGGATGCCGAATGTAACTTTGTCACAACCATACCTTTTTCTCCATTTCATGCATCAGACTGTCAATTTCTCGTACTTTTCATTTTGATAATAAAGCTTGAGAAAAGTATTGTAAACCAGAGGATATTTAGCCAACCCCAAATCCCTCATTTTCTGCATGGTGGCCTCTGCTCTCTCCAAAGATTTTTCATTCACATAGCAGTTGAGAAGAGAGGCATAAACCTCAGGGCCCCTTAACTGAATTGGAATGTTATTAAAATAATTTTCTGCTTGCTCTATCCCCTTAACTTTATGGATCAAATCCAGCCGAGTGGCCATATCACCCGCATTAAGCACAAGGTATCTTTTGTCGGTCATCCACATAGACATCTAAAAAAGAGGACAGAAAGATTATTCTAGTAAGATGTGAAAACAATAACACGACAAAAGAAGTAATTATCTTTGCAAATAACATCAAACTAGCATGGCAACTACAACTTGTGAATCCAATTACTTTTAGTGCAAATCTTTTATGAACCCCAACAACTCCAATTGCCAAATTTTAAAAATAATTCGTATGACCAATTCAGTAATTTCAAGTCAAATATTGGTAGTAGTTTTGCCATAGCTGAACCAATTCAAATGCTCTCGATGGATGTATTGAACCAGGATCAACAAAAATATAAACCAATGGGAGAATCAATAGGGAGACCGACCAAAGAAAAAAAATCACAGTCGTAAACTACTAATGAAACAGAACCTGATTCAAATTCCAAGGATTCATTAAAATTACATAATAAGAGTAGAAATGAAAATTTCTGCAATTGATGACCTATAGTTTACCATACCCAAACTTTTCTCTTCTACTGCCACCACCCTATATATCAGTCTATATCCATTACCATCAAGAAATGGAAAATATAACTTTGTTCGTCCACTTCATCCTGACTTTATTTTGTTCTTTTATAGTTGAAGCAAAAAGTTTCTCAGAACTCAAGACTAATGGAGCCAAAGAGGACTTAATACTTTCCAAATGAACACGTTATAATCATTGTGAACCATATCAATACCACACCTCGTGAAACAACCCAATTCTTATGCTAACACAGAACCTTTTAATACTTTTCAAATGAACCCGTTATAACCTTCTGAACCATACAACACCATGCTCGCGAAACAACCCAATTCTTGTGCCACATAGAACCTTTCTTTGTAGCTCCAATTAAAAAAAAAAAAAAAAAAAAAAAGAAAGAAAAAAAAAACTTCTTGAATTTCTATGTAACACTAAAAGCAAATATACCTGAAGAGCGTGAACGTATCGTTTAAAGGACCGCAACCGTTTGATGAAGTCTCGGAGCTGTAATTGGTCTACGTTTCGTCCTTCTTGGACCCACTGGTCCAGCATCGGAACAATAGAGACCGTCGGATCTCGAACGGCGAGATCACGATGGAACAGAGCGTTCATTGAGTTTGAAATTCGGCGTCTCCACTTCGGTCTTAGGTTTCCTGTGGCTGACGAGTGTGAAGAATACTCGAAACGTTTCGATGGCGGAGTTGAGAGCTGACGCTTTCAAGAATTGTACGCAAGCGCACAAGCTTCATTTGCTTTAACAATTTCGGAGATCGAAGAGCGAAATGTGAAGTGAAGTTGAAGAGGATGGCTGCTCACGCAGGGTTTAGAGGACGGGGTTTAAGAAGTACCTGATGTTTTAGAAAGGTTAAATAGTCCTCCATAGTTTAGGAATGTTACCAAGCCCCTAATATTTTGTAAGGGGTATGACTAGGAATGTGTTTATTTTGGTCACTTACTCCATATCTGAATACACGGCCGTTTGACTTGTGATAAACTTTAAAATAATTCTCAAAACTTAATATGATTCAAGCTCAGTTTATAACTGTCTCTAGAATCTAGAGAAGTTCTTAAAACAAAAAAAAAAAAAAAAAAAAATTCATGAACTAAATTACCTAAAATAAATTTATTCAAAAATAAATATAAATTTTATATGATAACATTGAATAAAGCTTGCAATTTATTAATTTTAAAAAGTTATAAAAAAATTATAGTTTGATTATCATCATAGTTTCTGGTTGCTGGAAATGGGCTAATGGAATCCGATGACCAAAAAATTATCCTATGTATTTTGATAACAATATTAATATCACAATGATCGTTTTTAATCGTTATATCTCATGAAGCTTACAAGCCACACCCAAAAGAAAAAAACTATGCACCCAAGTCTAAAGCTTACAAGCCACAACCTGAAGACAATAACTTTGCACCCAGGTCTGAAGCTTACAACAAAGAAAAAAACTATGCACCCAAGTCTAAAGCTTACAAGCCACAACCTGAAGACCATAACTATGCACCCAGGTCTGAAGCTTACAAGCCGTAACTCGAAGACAATGCCAATGCACCCAAGCCCGACGCTTACAAGCCATAACTTGAAGACAATAACTATACACTCAAGTCTGGAGCTTACAAGCCACAATATGAAGATAATAACTATTGACCCAAGTCTAAAGCTTACAAGCCACAACCCGTTGACAATAACTATGCACCCTAAAGCTTGCAAGCCACAACTTGAAGACAATAACAATGCACCCAAGTTCGAAGCTTACAAGCCACAACCTGAAGACAATAACTATGCACCCAAGTCCGAAGCTTACAAGCCACAACCTAAAGACAACGCTTATTCACCCAAGCCTGAAGGTTACAAGCCACAATCTGAAGATAACAGCTATGCACCCAAGCTTGAAGCTGACAAGCCGCAGTTCAATGATAATGGCTATGCACTGAAGCCAGAAGATGACAAACCACAACTCGAAGATAATGGCTATGTACCCAAGCCAGAGTGTTAGGATCCCACATTGAAAGGGAAAAGGGTGGGCGTGTGGGTTATAAAGGCTTGGGCACCCTCCCTTGGCAAATCGGTTTTCCAAGGAGAGTTCTACCCAAGCACATGAAAGACCCATGGCCCAGCCCAAAATTGTTGAGTTATTAGAGTTGGTTCCTATCAATTGGTATCAGAGTATGATCCTACGCTTATGTGGCAGCGCACTCGTGGCAGGCTGACCTTGGGCCTAGGCTGCTACCCCGAAAAAGGGCATAGAGGCCTAAGGGAAAAGGGATCCGCGTAGTCACCCAAGGGGTAAAGAAGCCGACGTGGACATTGGTTGCGGAAGCGTGATGAAATGTTAGGATCCCACATTGAAAGGGAAAAGGGTGGGCATGTGGGTTATAAAAGCTTGGGCACCCTCCCTTGGCAAGTCGGTTTTCCAAGAAGAGTTTTACCCAAGCCCATGAAAGACCCATGATCCAACCTAAAATTGTTGAGTTATTGGAGTGGGTTCCTATCACAGAGGCTTACAAGCCACAACCTAAAGATGACAACTATGCACCCACGCCTAAAAGCTGACAAGCTACAATCCTAAAATAACGGCGATGCACATAAGGTAAGAGTATCCTATCTATTTTGATAACAATATTAATATCACAATAATCGCTTTTAATCGTTATACCTCATCGAATAATAATTTTTTGTTTTATTTTATTTATTCTTCACAACCTCTTTTATTCTCTTCTCGTCACTGATCCATGCCTCTGCAAATTGAACGAAATAGAGAAGCAACAGGAACAAAATAATAATAGTTAAACAAAACAAACAGTAAACAAAGAAAGTAATACGCGCGATTTACCCTGGTTCACCCAATGTAGGCTACGTCCAGCTGAGTCAATATTATTGCAATATGCCTCACCTCTCTCGTTTTCAATGAATGAATTGTTCTCACACTCATAACAAGAGAAAAGAATGTTTATATACTAGGTTTAAGGGATTAAACCTAGTTTTACAAGAATTCCTATTCCTAAGCCCAACCCAAAAAGGAAGATATAAATTAAAAGGAATCCTACAGCGGGACCCCCGAGTGCGTCTCCGTACCCATTAATGTGAAGTAGTCGACAACTCCAACACAAATGATTATGGCTAGGCGACAACCTTGAGGATGACGAACCAAAGTCTCAAGAATATATCTTCACAAGGTTAATATCACAATCAATTAGTTTTTGTTTCTGTGTTTCAAGAAAAAAATTCATGTCTTGTGAAGTGTTTGTATATATGGGAATGTGAAGGGATGATTTTTTTTGTACCACTGAACGGGAAGCATATCTCTTCACAATCTTAATATCAAAATCAATTAATTTTTGTTGCTGTTGTTTTCAGGGAAAAGATTTATGTATTAGAATGGAATCAAGCTGAGAAAAGTACAGCATGAAAGTTGGAAAATCATGGATGCAACAACGTGGATCAAGCTAGACTGAACATATTTTACCCATAATGTATAGACCAATGATCCATTGAGTTCAAAATCTCACTACCGAACACTTAATCTAACATAGAAATCGCATGGCCTGTTTGACTGACATGTAGGAGTTATAGCTCGAAAACTGTTGAATTTTGATAGTTGGAGGATCATCCAACAAACATGATATCAAAGCCACTTTCATAATCAATACTATATTAATTTTAAACAACAATACTATAATACAATCAATAAACATACCCGTGTATGTTAGAAGGTAAAAGACATTTTTAGATATATGCAAGTGTCAACGTTTGAAAAGTAATAAAAAAAGAATTTATACCCTCTTTATTAATTTTTAGTAAGGATAATATTATAATTAAGTTAAAAAAAAAAAAAAAACAAAAAGAATAATACTACCCATCCCAGATATTTATTTAAATTTCATATCCCAATTCCCAAATAACGTGTCATTACAATTTAATATTGTATATCATTAAGTGCATCATCACTTTATTTAGTGTTAGTGTCATGTATGACAACACAACACTTCGAAATATGAAATAAGTTTCCTGTTCTTTTACTGACTCACCGTTTTCAACCTCGAAAGTGCTTCTTCATCATCAATCAAGCATCACCATAAAACTTACGAGTGCGTCGAAGTTCAACTTCCATTCTGGACTTATTCAACCTTTTCTTGGAGATCCTCAGAGATATGTCCTTTTCCTGAGCAAATTTATGAATTTCTCGACTCCCTACGTCTTCTTACATCTTTTAAGAATTTCAAAGAGCTCGCCAAGTGTTCCTTACCTGGCTTCCACTTGTTTTGACAAACCACCAACGCTTCCTTATCGCCTCCACTGCCTCAGAGTTTGATTATTCTTAAGTATCCTGTTGCCATAAAAACCATGTCTTCCAATTCGGTTCTCCCCCTTCAACTTTGCCTGGTTATAAGAGATTCAGCCTTCTGCAAAAGGCTTTTCCACAGTAAGAACCAATCAAGAAATTTGGAATCCGGATATCATACCTTAAACTCTGCGACTCCCATTCCTCAACTATCTTCCGGCACTCTCCAGGTCATCAAATTAACAGAGAAGATATGACAGATATTAGCCTCTATTGTAAACAGTAGCATTCTTCTTGTAGATTCCCAAAGCCTTAAACTTCATCTTTCTGCCCAGTCGTTGCATACTGTCTTAATAGAATTTCGTATGCTTTAGCAGCACTAGAGCGGCTTTTGCCTGATATTAGTCCCTCAGATTTCTTCGCATTTGCAAAGACTGTCCAAAAACCCAGCTTTTGCGTACCCACTAGCTGCAGTTCCATAAATTTCCCAGTCCAACAGAACAGTGGGATGGATTCCACCAAATTTACAATCTTGTCAATTCCCTCAACATCAGAAGCAGCTGCATAGGCACTTAAACGGATGCTACATGTCATTTTGTCATAACCAATGCCTTTTTCTTCATTTCACAATCAGAATGTCAAGTTTCTCATAATTTCAGTCTGATAATAAAGATTAAGCATAGAATTGTAAATCAGTGGTGTTCTGGCAACAATCCCAAATCACCCATTTCCTGCATGGTGGCCTCTGCTTTTTCCCAGATTTTGCATTGGCATAGCAGTTGAGAAGAGCAGAATAAGCAAAACCCAATTGTTTTGGAATATTATTGAAATAGTTTTCTGCTTGCTACTCCATGAACTTTAGAGATCAAATCCAACCGAATGGAACATCACGCTGTAAGTTGGAGGTCTTTTGTCAGTCATCCACATAGATATCTGGTGTAGAGAGACAAAGAGAATCTTAGTGAGACACCAAAACAATGAAATGACAAAATGAAGTAATCATATAAAGGCAGCATCTTTACAAATAATTTCAAAATCAACATCACAACTACAACTCAGGGTCCAATTATATAAGTAGGTCAAATTTTTATGATCCCTTAAACTCTAAACACACAAAATATTAAAATGTGATTATATCAGTCTATTCAGAAAATTCAGGGTAAAACACAGTCGTTGACTTGTGTAGCTCAATCAATCAATCCTTGATAAAATATGGAAAACACAAACCAACAAAAAGCTCATGAACCAATTGCAATTATAAAATTACAAGTTAGACAAGGGGCAAAAAGATATAATATCAACAGAACCTAATGTAAGGTCCAAGGATAAGAACTGCACTAATAAGCTAGAAGTGAAAGATTAAGCAATATGTGTTCCAAAAAATCGAAGAAGTTTAATAGCATGCGCAGTCCTATCACTTTTCATTTTCTTAAAGGAATCTATATATTATTTTACTGCTTCACCTGTCATAAGCGGATACAAAATTTTAACCCACTTCATCAGAATTTGTCCGGAAAAATATCTTATTTTCTAGTAGGAAACATAGGAATTTGAAACAAAGCAAAATGCATAAAACTTCTCAAAACAAAAACTAAAGGAGTGTAAGCAAGAACTACTAATACCAAATCAACAAATTAAAAATATTTGAGCCATCATCTTCCACCACACCCAGACAATGCCCCGTTTTCAAACGGAATCAAAATTTTCTTCATAGCTCCCATTTTAAAAATAGTTATTGAATAGCTATGCAAATATAAACAAGTTTGCTTGGCTTTCAGGTATACTCGAAAACGAAATTAACAAAACTAAGCTGCCAAACCTACTCATTCACCTCCCTCGAGGCCCAGCCACTTATATATTATATATATATAATATATATATATTATTATATAATATATAATTAATTAATTGTAATACCTGGAGAGCGTGAGAGAATCTCTGAAGGATCGCAACTCTTTGATGAAGAGTTGGAGCTGTTCTTTCTCTACGGTTCGTCCTTCTTGGACCTATTGATCGAGCAGGGGAACAATGGAGACTGTTGTATCTCCCACGGGCGTGATACGCGGAACAGATCATACATTGAGTTTGAGTACCGGTTCGAGCTTCTCCGTTTTGTGTAGGTTTCGTGTTGCAGTTGAGTATGAGGAAATTCTCGAAACATTTCCGAGACGGAGCTGAAAATTGAGCCTTCAAGGATTGTACCGCGATTACAAGCTTCATTTGCAGGAAAAATTAGAGAGGAGAAGAGAGAGAGAGAGAGAGAGAGAGAGAGAGAGAAATGAACAGCTCGAGGGTGAGAGTGAAAGCAATCGAAGGGTTTAAGGGTTCTGGGTTTTTTAATTTTGATTTTATTTTAGGAATAATTACTTCAGGCCATAGGTTTAATCTAATTATCGGGGAACACTGCTAGTTTCAAAAAAGGATGTTAGCCCCTTTTCTTAATTTAGTTGATATTTTCTATATTTACAAGCAACAAAGCTATGGACACCGAAAATTTTGACCGAAAATGTGTACGCCTACGTGTAACATGCCTCTATTTTTTAACAATTTTTTTCTAGTGAACGACGTCCATCAAATTTGGACGGTTAGTCACTCACATGGAGCCCGTCCATATTATATGGACGGGCGTCCATAAGGGACGAGCATCTCCTTTAAAGACACCCGTCCATAAAAAAATATGAAAAAAAAAAAACTTTTGGACGACCATCCATAAATTTTGGACGGCCATCCCTTACGTTGGACGGGCGTCCATTAGGAATGGACGCCCATCCATACTTTAAAAAAAAAAAAAAAAAAGAACGTTTGGACGGGCATCCATTATTTTGGTCTCTACAAATTAAAGAAAAACTTTGGATGGGACAGGCATCCGTAAGGAATGGACGCCCGTCCATTACTTACGTTTTTTAAAAATAAAAGAAAAACTTACAGTTTCACGCAAGGCTAATGGGTTTGAGATCGCCAATGCAGTTAGGAAGTGTTCGTATCTCACTATCAGTCCAGTGTCTTTCATTCTTTTCTTGAGTATATGGATTCGCTTACTTACATTATCTATTCGACGAGTACCAGTAAATGTAGTATCAGCTACTGGATTGCGACAACGAGCAAGGAAGCCACGCTTTTGTGAACTCTTTCCAGTGATAGCAATCTCATGCAGTATCTCCTGCACATCATCAGCCAACTTTTTGACGTCCTCCAGCCAGTCTAGTACGTTTGCATCCTGGTTGAAGTTCTGTAGCTTATCCTTATTCTCTTCATCGCTATTGACTTCTCTGAAAATCTTAAACTCTTGCCTCCATGGAATTACCTTTTTACAAAGGTCATTAGGATTTTTGAGGGACCTCAACCTAGAGAACGGCGTCTCCAGTTGCTCCAACTTGCTACACAATTCTTGAACCATGATTAACTGCATGTCACACAAAAGAGAATGATGAAACTGAGACTGAACCAGAGCATGTAGGACTCTTATATGCTTCATCTCATTGTCTTTTACAAATCATTTTATGTCTTTTTTCTTTATAAATCATTTTATGTCTTTTTTCTTTAGTATAGTGACATTCTTATTTGATGGCATGTTTTAGGTTGATCTTGAAAGAGTTGCAAGAGATATCCATGGTTATGTGGGAGCAGATCTTGCTGCTCTTTGTATTGAAGCGGCCCTTCAGTGTATCCGGGAGAAAATGGATGTCATTGCTTGGAGGACGAGACAAGTGCTGCTGAGGTGTTGAATTCAATGGTTGTAATAACGAACACTTCCTAACTGCATTGACGATCTCAAACCCATCAGTCTTGCATGAAACTGTAAGTTTTTCTTTTATTTTAAAAAAACGTAAGTAATGGATGGGCGGCCATTCCTTATAGACGCCGGTCCCATCCAAAGTTTTTCTTTAATTTGTAGAAACCAAAATAATGGACGGATGGACGACCGTCCAAACGTTCTTTTTTTTTTTTTAAAGTATGGACGGGCGTCCATTCGTAATGGACGCCTATCCAAACGTAAGGGACGTCCTTTAAATGGGGATGCCCGTCCCTTGTATATGGACGCCCGTCTATATAATATGGACGGACGTCCAAATTTGGTGGACGGCTGTTCATTAGAAAAAAATTGTTAAAAAAAATCAGAGGCATGTTACACGTAGGCCGGTACACATTTTCGGTGCAAAATTTTTGGTGTCCGTAGTTTTGTTGTTTCCAAGGGTTATATAGAACACTATTTTAAAACTTGGCCTGACCCGACCAATTGAATCGGTTCAATCAAGACTCGAAGCCTTCACCAGGTTGAGTTACAAATTTTCCTATTCATTTAAAACCCTTAAAATTAGGACCCTTGAAATTAGGACATCAATCCATGAAAGAATTGAAGGCTATAATGTTAGGGGTTTTGAAGAGAACCTATCGATGAGTACAATGATGGCAACGACGCTAATTTCCAGTGAGTGAATCGACCGAAAATCGTAAAACAATATCGCTAGAAAAATCTTGTTGTCGTCGACAATTGGGGAGGTGAACGGGGGAAGGGTGAAATGAGTTTTGGTCAAGAGGTTGAGGAAAGTGTTTTCGTGGTGATAAGGAGTGTTATTGTCACCAGAAACATACCCAATTTGCGTACGTGAACACATTGTTTTAAAAATCGGACCAGACCGGTCGGTCCAACCGGTTGGACTGGGACCAAGTCACAAGTCCGGTTCGAGCCAACATAAAACCCGACATTAATCAGTGAATCGTTATAAACCGTCAATGAACCGCATGAATAGTGTAAACTACCGGTCGGACCGGACTGATTGAAAAACCGGTCCAGCGTCTAAAAAGGGGAAAAAAATCTCTAATTTCTCAGTTTCTCTGATTTCTCATTTCTCTATGCAAAATCCTTTGAAAAAATGTTAACACAAATATGAAAATTTGAAATCCCACACCAATCGCCACTCAATCTCAACGAAATCCACTCTCTGAAGTCTGAAATCGGAACCTTTCGTTGCTAAAATCAATCGCAACTCAAATCTTTGAAATCGTGACGATGCCTTCCTCCCTGGCAGGAAATCGACGACGACCGAATGACATCCTTTTCTTCTTGACTTTCCTTCTCTTCTCCTCTGTTAACTAAATATTTTTCCAGATCTAATTTTCATGGTAATCTACTCGNTGGGACCTGTACCATTACCAGTTTTACAAACCTTGAATCGTGGACTTTCTGGTTAGAATAGGTTTCATTGTGAAGTTTGTCCCCTAGCCAAACAAACTAGATAACCATTTACCCTAAGTGAAACAACCACATCAAATGTATTTAAACTATTGCATTTAGATGTTTGGGGCTCTTACAAGGTACCAACGTAGGGTAATGCCAATTTTTTTTTTTATTGTTGTATAATGAGGACCACATGGTTGTTTCTTATGCAATTTAATTCTGATGTGTATCAAACCTTGAAAAGTTTTCTGCTTATGGTACGAAACCAGTACAATAGAACCCCTAAGTGTATTAGAACAGAAAACGGCTCAGAATTTTTTAATCAACACTGTCATGAGTTGTTATCCAACTTGGGTATTGTACATCAAAGTACTTGTGTCTACACTCCACAGCAAAGTGGAGTAGTAGAACGTTAAGCATAGACACATCCTTAACATTGCTAGAGCCTTTAAGTTTCAATCTCAAATTCTAGATTATTTGTGGGGAGATGCAGTGAAGGCAGCAGTCTATATTATCAATAGATTGCCTACCAAGGTTTTACATAGTCTTTCACCTTTTGAAAAGTTCTATGGTCATCAACCTAAGTTAGATCATTTGAAGGTTTTTGGGTGCTTGGCATATGCTACAAATCTGACCCTTCAAGATAAATTTGCTCCTAGGTCTATTCCCTGTGTTTTCCTTGGTTATTCTTCTACTAAGAAAAGGTATATACTATATGTCTGTCCAGCATATCTGCCCTTACTGAACCCACTTCTTTCACCCAAGCATCCAATGATCCAAATTGGATTGTAGCTATGCAACAAGAGATTCAAGCCTTGGAAAGAAATGAGACATGGTCTTTGGTTCCCCTGCCTCCTGGTAAGGTTCCAATAGGATGTAAATGGGTATATAAACTCAAATATAAAGCAGATGGAACTTTAGAGAGATATAAAGCTAGATTAGTAGCCAAAGGATTTACACAGCAAGCAGCATTGATTATGAGGAGACATTTTCTCCTGTAGTCAAGATGGTGATAGTAACATTTGTATTGGCCATTGCATCTTTGAAATCTTGGCCTCTTTTTCATTTAGATGTTGATAATGCTTTTTTACAAAGGGATCTTCAAGAAGAGAGATATACGCACATGTCACAAGGTTTTTCTAATCAACATGATCAACCTTTAGTTTGTAAACTACACAAGTCACTATATGGCTTGAAACAAGCCTCTCGGGCATGGAACATTAAACTCACCACTGCCTTGTTGACAGGAGGTTTTCAGTAGTCCCTTTCAGATGATTCTTTTTTCTTTAAGAAGCATAATGGTCATATTGTTATACTTCTTGTGTATGTTGATGACTTGGTGATTACAGGTAATGATAGTTCCATGATTAAAGATAATAAGGATCTCTTTGCATGCTCATTTCAAGCTCAAGGACTTAGGATCTCTTAGATATTTTTTGGGATTTGAGGTTGCTAGATCTTCCAAAGGTATAAATTTATGTCAAAGGAAATATGCTTTGGAATTGATAGTTGATTATGGCCTAGCTTCTGCCAAGCCTACTTTGGTTCCACTTGATCCTCAATTGAAGCTTACTAATGTGGAATATGATCAAGCTTTTCCTGGACAACCTGATCCTGTCTTGAGTGATCCATCGGTATATAAAAAATTGATTGGTAAATTGTTATATTTGTGCCTAACTAGACTTGATTTAAGTTTTGCAGTGAACTTACTCAATCAATTTATGCATAAGCCCAAGCAATCACATCTCAATACTGCCTGATTGGGCCTCTTGCCTCATGACCCACAAATCATAACTAGATTTTTCATTTTTCTGGACAACTCCTCGCTGTCATGGAAATCTAAGCGACAAGTCACAGTGTCTAGATCTTCATCAGAAGCTGAATTTTGTGCCATGGCCTCCATGGTTTGTGAACTCATTTGGCTTTCTCAGCTTCTAACTAATCTTGGATTTCCTTTGCAGCTTCCCATTCCTCTTGGATGTGATAATCAGTCAGTCATTCACATTGCCTCTAATCCTATTTTCCATGAACGTAAGAAGCACATTGACATTGATTGTCACATTGTTCGTACAAAGATTAAGGAAGGCTTGGTGCATCCAATTCATGTTCATACACAAGACCAGCATGTTGATTTGTTTACTAAGGATGTTCCTACTACTCTTCATCGCCATTTATTGTCCAAGTTGGGAGTGCTGGATATCCATCACCCACCAACTTGAGGGGGGGTCTTGGATTATTGTAAATAGTTGATGTTGAGTTTTAAATACAATTGTTGGAGTTAGTGAGTTAGTTAGTAGTTAATTGTTGTAATTAGTTAGCTTAACTATGGTTCACTTGACCATAGTTACTGGGTTTGTATAAATGTGTAATAAAACATTTGTATTTCTTCTTAAGCTTTTAAGCAGAAGTAGTGAAATTGATCTTCATTTTCTCTCTAAATCAAAATCAAACATTATTCTAGTAAGATGTGAAAGCAATAACATGACAAAATGAAGTAATTATCTTTGCAAATAACATCAAACTAGTATGGCAACTACAACTTGTGAGTCCAATTATCTGTTTTAGGTCAAATATTTTTATTTTGTTCTTTTTCTCTAATTACGAGCGGATTCAACTAATGCAGAAAAACATAAACCAGAGAATCCCAATAATTCTTAAAACTCCATTCAATTTGTCTAATGAACTTCAAGGCAGTTTCTTAAGCTAAGTATTTTCAAAAAATACATATATAAATTGAAATGTTAAAAAATATAAAAATAGAAATTATATTTTATTTATTAATACCTAGAAAGCGTGACCATATCGTTTAAAGGACTGCGACTATTTAATGAAGTCTCAAAGCTGTAATAGGTCTACGATCCAACGGATAAAGCTTTCATTGAGTTTGAAATTCGGTGTCTCCACTTCGGTCTTAGGTTTCCTATAGTTGACGAGTGTGAAGAAATACTCGAAACCTTTCGACGGCAGAGTTGAGAGTTGATGCTTTAAAGAATTGTATGCAAGCGTACAAGCTTCATTTGCTTTAACAATTTTGGAGAATTGAAGAGCGAAATGTGAAGGTGAAGTTGAAGAGGAAGCCCGAAGCTCACGTAGGGTTTAAGGGTTTTGGGTCTTTATTATGGGTTTTAAGAAGTACCTAATGTTTTAGAAAATTATAAAAGACCTCCATAGTTTAGGAATTTTTGTCCACGCCCTAATATGTTGTAAGGGGATATCACTTGGAGGGTGCATTTGGTTTAGGGAATGTTGTATTATTGGAAATGTTATGTTAATGGGAAGATAGATTACCTTAAAGATTACTGGGAATATTATATTAAATATATTTGGTTAGATTGGAATAAAATAATTGGTATGTTATATTGATATGTTTAGCTGAGAGGAATAAATTGGTGGGTATGTTGTATAAATTACTGGATCGCCCTTCTTTTTAAATATTATTATGGTTGTTGTTGTTGTTTGGATTATTTTTTTTAACCCTTTACATTTGAGATTTTGCTAAAACACCCTAGCCACAATAAAAGTTTAAATTGTAACAAAAACAGCCCCACATTATTATTATTTGGATTATTTTTTTAACCCCCTACATTTGAGATTTTGGTAAAACACTCTTACAATAAAAGTTTAAATTGTAACACCCCCACCCACCCAAGTCATTGTCAGCTACTAGTCACCACGGGGTCGGATATGGTTGGTTGTGCGCCAATCTGGCAGTTTCTGGCCAAATCGATGGCCAGATCTATTCTGGCTAGCCAGATCCATGGCCGTTAACGGCCAAATCTATAGCCATTAATAGCCAGATTGGCACACGGCCAACCATATCTGGCCAATCGTGTGTTGTTCTAGCAACAGTCGCCAGTGGCCGACTGTGATCTTGGGTAATTTGGTGGAAGTGCAAGGGTATAAATGTCTCAATATTTCTCTGTAGAAGTCTTAAATTGTCCATGAAAATTCTTGTAAATTGTTTAGATAACAAGGGCATTACTGTCCTAAAATTTTATTAATAAGGGGAAAAATTGTAACAAAAATTAGATTACCAAGTAATCTCAACATACCGAAGAAAATAGTGGTATTCAGATTACCATCTACAGTGAAACCTCTCTATAGTGATACTTTATATATGAATAAACTCTACATAGTCATATAAAATTTTATTCCCAATTTGGGATAATTATAAATAAGATTAAACTCCACATTGTAATAAATTATAATGTTTATAATTCCTGTCTTAAGGAAAGTTGCCTCCACATATTAATAATTATCTGTATATTGCAAAAAAAAATAAAAAAATATGGTATGTTACGTTAAAGATGAAATAAAATATTTATCTGAAGTTGTTTAGGACAATAATTTTATCTTTTAGAGTTGTTATTACATCTTTTAACTTTCGGGTACATTACTTGCTAGCATGAACATTTTCTTGTTAAAGCCAAAACATTTCTAGTTTCTCAAGCATGTCTAGAACTTCTTGACATGAAACTTTTTGTATTTCCGTACTATCATCTTCATAATTATTTCCTTTCTCTTCTTGTTTAATTGTAAAATTGATTTCTTCTTTTGTTAAAGCATACATGACTTGTTACTCATTTGGATGATTAAGGAAGACATTAATATTCATTCGATTAGTATAGTGAAGTTGTCGAATCTGATCACTCAATTCTACAATGACTCTTTGATTCTCCTCATCCACTTTATTTGTAACTTGCAATTCATCGACATCGGGGCTCCTAATTTTGTAATGCTTAAAACAATTGATAATTGTCTGTGGCTTCACATCAGTTGCCATGCAGCAACTGCATCTACAATTCCATCAGGGAAAGTTATCTTTGTTGGTTTCAAAATATTCTATCCGTTTCAAAAAGTAGACAATTGAAGCGCTGAATTAAAACCCTAATATTACTAAAACATGAATTATGAAATAAGAACTTTTTTTAACTACAATCTCTATTAAGTTATAACCTCCTCACAGTAATAAAATTAGTTAGTCTCACCATTATAACTATAGAGAGGTTTTACTGTATATAGCCAACAATGTTACTATCGGTTTTGAAAGATTACTGGAATCTTATTAGGGGTGGGAAAAAAAGACCGAAAACAAAACCAAATCGAAAAACCAGACTGAAACCAAACCGAAAATTGGGTTTTTTTTAAACCGGTTTGGTTTTTGGTTTTAAAAATTCATAAACCAATTATTCGGTTTGGTTTTTGGTTTACTAGTTTTTTTTAACCAGTTAACCGAAACCGAATTCTAAAATCGGTTTTAAAATAATAAAAAAATAAAAACCCTAATATAAATTATACTTAACTTCTAGAGCCCACCGCCGCTGCCACTTTTCTTTTTCATCTTCTTCTCTTCCATTTCTTCTTTTCATTTTTTTTTGTCTTTTTATCCATCTCTTCTCCTTGGGTTTTTTCTTTCTTTTTCGTCTTTTTCTCCATCTCTTCTCCTTTTATCTTTCTTTTCCATCCTATCTTCTCTTCCTTTTCTTCTCTTCCATTTTTCTCTTTCTTTTTCGTCTTTTTCTCTAATCTTCAAGTTTATTTGAATTTTTGAAGATGTAAGAAATTTGAATGACTTAATTTGACTTCTTCGGTGAAGAATAATAATATAGGTACTAGTTAGTTTATCACTTTCGACCTTTCGGGTATATTTAATATTTATTATTTATATCAAAACTTGCAAGTGTATATTTACATTTCTCCTACATTTGGCTAGAATTTGAGAGTAGCAATTCTGGTGGCTAGTGGCCAATCTTTCTCAAACAATCATTCTGATTTTAAAAACTGGTTTAAAACCGGTTAACTAGTGAACCAAACCGTATATTCGATTCGGTTCATAACCGGTTTAATAATATAACCAGTTCAGTTTTGGTTCAAGTTTTTACTTGAACCGAAAAACCGGTTCAATATATAAACTACCATATCCAATTCGGTTAACCGGAATTTCCTACTCTTAAATCTTATACTTCTTAACAATCAAACATGATAATGTCAATAATACAAGATAACATTAGGAGTAATTGAAGACCCTCAACCAAAGAGCTCCAAAATGTGTTTATTTTGGTCACTTAGTCTGAAATCTCAATACATGGCCGTTTGACCTGTGAGTTGTGATTAGATTAAACATAATTCTCAAAAACTAATATGATTCAAGTTTTTAATATCTTTAATATTTGAAATTTTGTTATAATATCAAAAAATGATTTTCATATTAATAATTACATAAAACTATGAAAATAAATTTAAATCGTTTTCTAATTTTACAATTTCTTGGAGATTGTATTGGAAGAATGTTTTCAAAAACAAAAACAAAAAAACAAAAAAGCTATATTTAAATTATATATTAAATATGCCCTTTTTTTCTTCTTTACTGAGTTAACATTATATATATATATATATACACACACAAGAAATATAGAATAATTTTATGAAAACACGTTTAATAAAANGTCGAAGAGGATGGTTGCTCACGCAGGGTTTCAGAGGATGGGTTTTAAGAAGTACCCGGTGTTTTAGAAAATTTTAAACAGTCCTCAATAGTTTAGGAATTGTTACCCAAGCCCCTAATATTTTGTAAGGGGATATCACTTCGAATGTGTTTACTTTGGTCACTTACCCTGAAATCCAAATCCAAATACATGGCCTTTTGACTTTGAGCTGTGATTAAAACATAATTCCCAAAACCTAATATGATTCAAGCTCAGATTTCATCACTGTCTCTAGAATCTAAAAAAGTTCTAAAAAATTCATGAACTAAATTACCTAAAATAAATTTATTCAAAAATAAATATAAATTTTATATGATAACAATTAAGCACCAGAGTCCAAAGCTTATAAGCCACAATATAAAGAAAATGATTATGCACGCAAGATTGAAGCTTACAAACTACAATCCGAAGACAACGGCTATGCACCCATGTCTGAAGCTTACAAACCACAACCAGAAGAAAAAAACTATGCACCCAAGTCTGAAGCTTACAAGTCACAACCCGAAGACAATAACTTTGCACCCAAGTCTGAAGCTTACAAGCCATAACCCGAAGACAATGCCAATGCACCCAAGCCTGACGCTTACAAGCCATAACATGAAGACAATAACTATACACCCAAGTCCGGAGCTTACTGGCCACAATCTAAAGATAATAACTATTTATCCAAGTCTGAAGCTTACAAGCCACAACCCGTTGACAATAACTATGCACCCTAAAGCTTACAAACCACAACTTGAAGACAATAACTATGCACCCAAGTTCGAAGCTTACAAGCCACAACCTGAAGACAATAACTATGCACCCAAGTCCAAAGCTTACAAGCCACAACCTAAAGACAACGCTTATGCACCCAAGCCTGAAGGTTACAAGCCATAATCTGAAGACAATGCTTATGCACTAAGGCCTGAAACTAACAAGCCACAACCCAAAGATAACGCCTATGCACCCAAGCCTGAAGCTGACAAGCCGCAGTTCAAAGATAACGGCTATGCACCGAAGCCAGAAGATGACAACCCACAACCTGAAGATAATGGCTATGTACCCAAGCCAGAGGCTTACAAGCCACAACCTAAAGATGACAACTATGTACCCACGCCTAAAGCTGACAAGCTACAATCCTACAATAACGGCGATGCACCTAAGGTTGAAGTTTATAAGTCACAATCCAAAGATAATGGCTATGCTCCCAAACTAGAAGGTAATGGTTTTGGCCATAAATTGGACGTTTTTAAATCAAAATTTGAATATCATGGTTATGACTCAAAATCAGACTATAATAAATCGAAGTCAGAAAAGAAAGACAAGTCATATTGTTATTAAATTTATTCTTTTTGCATGTCGCAACACAAAGATAACGACTATGCACTAGAGTTTGAAGCTTATAAGCTACAATCGGAAGAAAATGATTATGTGGCCAAGTCCGAAGCTTACAAGCCACAACCCGAAGACAACACCTATGCACCCAGGCCTGAAGCTTATAAGCCACAACCCAAAGACAACGCCTCTGCACTCAAGCCTAAAGCTTACAAGTCACTCTTAATTTTTAACAAATTCATGATCTAAATTACCTAAAAACCCTTTATTCAATAATAAATATAAATTTTACACGATAACAAATTAACAATTAATGAAACTTGCAATTTATTAATTTTAAAAGTGATTATAAAAAATTATAATTGCAAGTCGTTGAAAATCAGCTGCAATTGTCTTAATCCAATGACCGGAAAATTATTGGATGCATTTTATGACAATATGTGTATCAAAATTAGCATCTCTAGATAATCTATCTAACAATAAAAATTAGAATAATATTATTGTATGAAGCATCAGCTTCCAGAAAGTTCAACTTTTTTTCAAATTCGTATTCAACATGTTTCCTGCTCTTTTACTGAGCCATCTTTATCAGCCTCGGGCGCTGAAAGTGCCTCTGTATCATCAATCAAAGCATCACCATAAAACTTACCGAGTTCGTCGAAGTTCAACTTCCCATTCTGGACGTTATTCAACCATTTTCCTTGGAGATCCTCTGAGATAATGTCCTTTTCTCTGAGCAAATTTATAAATTTCTCGACTCCCTCTATGTCTTCTACTCCATCGTTTAAGAATGTCAAAGAGCTTGCCAAGAGTTCCTTACTTGGCTTCCACTTGTTTCGACAAACCACCAACGCTTCCTTCATCGCCTCCACTGCCTCTAGAGTTTGATTATTCTTAAGATATCCTGTTGCCATATAAAACCATGTCTTCCAATTCGGCTTCTCCCCCTTCAATTTTGCCTTGCTTATAAGAGATTCAGCCTTCTGCAAAAGGCCTTTTCTACAGTAAGAACCAATCAAGAAGTTTGGAATCCGGATATCATAGCTTAAACTCTGCGAATCCCAATCCTCAAAAATCTTCTCGGCAGTCTCCAGGTCATCAAATTTTAACATAGATTTTATGACAGATATGTAGCCTCTATTGTAAATAGTGACATTCTTCTTGTAGATTTCCCAAAGTCTTAAAACTTCATCTTTCTGCCCATTTGTTGCATACTGTGTTATAAGAAAATGGTATGCTTTAGCAGCTTCAGTGTGACTTTTACCTGATATTAGTCCCTCAGATTTCTTCAGCATTTGAAAAGACTTGTCCAAAAACCCAGCTTTTGCATACCCACTAGCTGCAGTACTATAAATTTCCCAGTCTAAGAGAACAGTGGGATTAGATTCCACCAAGTTTACAATCTTGTCAATTCCCTCAACATCAGAAGCAGCTGCATAGGCACTTAGACGGATGCTACATGTTATTTTGTCATAACCAATGCCTTTTTCTTCCATTTCACGCATCAGACTGTCAAGTTTCTCGTAATTTCCGGTCTGATAATAAAGATTAAGCATAGAATTGTAAACTGATGGTGTTCTGGGAAACAATCCCAAATCGCTCATTTCCTGCATGGTGGCCTCTGCTTTTTCCACAGATTTTGCATTGGCATAGCAGTTGAGAAGAGCAGAATAAGCAGCAAACCTCCTGAATTGTTTTGGAACATTATTGAAATAGTTTTCTGCTTGCTCTAGCCCATGAACTTTAGAGATCAAATCCAACCAAATGGCAAAATCAGCAGATGTATGTGGCAAGTATCTTTTGTCAGTCATCCACACAGAAATCTGGTGTAGAGAGATAACGAGATATCTTAGTGAGACACTAAAACAATGAAATGACTAAAATTAAGTAATCATATAAAGGCTAAGCATCTTTACAAATAACTTCAAATCAACATCACAACTACAACTTCAGGTCCAATTATATATAGTAGGTCAAAAATTTTATGATCTCTTAAACTCTATACACAGAAAATTTAAATTTCATTATATCAGTCTATTTGAGAAAATTCAGGGTGAAAACACAGCTGTTGACTTGTAGTAGCTCAATAAATCAATTCCTTGGTAAAATATGGAGAACCAAGGGCAACAAAAAGCTCATGAATCAATTGCAACTATAAAATTACAAGTTAGACAACTGAACCTAATGCAAGTTCCAAGGATAAGAATTACACTAATAAGCCTAGAAGTGAAAGATTAAGCGATCTGTGTTCCAAAAACTCAAAGAAGTTTAATAGCAAGCCCAATCCAATCCCTTCTCATTTCCTTAAAGGAATCTATATATTATTTTACTGATTCACCTGTCATAAGCAGATAAAGATTTTAACCCACTTCATCAGAATTTGTTCGGAAAAATATCTTATATTTCTAATAGGAAACATACAAATTTGACACAAAACAAAATGCATGAAACTTTTCTCAAAACGCAAAACTAATGGAGTGTAAGCATGATCTTATTAATGCCAAATCAACATTTAAAAAATATATTGAGCCATCATCTTCCACCACACCCAGACAATGCCACGTTTTCAAACGGAATTATAATTTTCTTCACAGCTCCATTTTAAAAATAGTTATTGACAAACGAAATTAACAAAACTAAGCTACCAAACCTACTCATTCACCTCCCTCAAGGCCCGGTCACTTACATGCAAATCCGGAATCAAAATAAACACTTCTAAGAAAGTGAATCAAACTATGTCTCAACCAATTTAGGAGACGTTCAAGAAGATTTTCATAATTTCCTACTTTACGACGAATTTTAAAACTAATAAATTCAACACATGTTTTAAACAAATCAAGAACAAAATTTTAATTCAAACAACTTCAAGCCCCATTAAACAATTTATGACACATTCCATGAAACTATGGACAGTGTGATCTGTGACGCGAAAAATATAAGTACAACAAGGCGCGAAATAATTCCTAAAAATTGAAATTAATTAATTTAAAATATAATTAATTTGTTAATACCTGAAGAGCGTGAGTGAATCGTCTGAAGGATCGCAACTCTTTGATGAAGAGTTGGAGCTGTTCTTTCTCTACGGTCCCTCCTTCTTGGACCCATTGATCGAGCAGGGGAACAATGGAGACCGCTGGATCTCTCAGCAGCGTGATGCGACGGAACAAACCGCGCATTGAATTTGAGTACGGGTTCGAGCTTCTACATTCTGTTGTGGGGTTTCGTGTTGCGGTTGAGTATGAGGAAATTCTCGAAACATTTCCTAGACGGAGCTGAAGTTTGATGCTTTCAAGGATTGTACGCGAGCTTACAAGCTTCATTTGCAGTAAAAAATTACAAAGAAAGAGAGAAGTGAAGAGCTCAAGAGTCAAGACTGAGACCGTAGTGGTTTTGAAAGTTAACCATTATACTGGTTTCGTTAGATTTTTAGTAGCGATTAACATAATAACATCCAACCTTGCTTAAAGTTTATTTTAAGGCGGTGCTGACAGTTTTTTAAAATAATAAATTTATATTTAATATTTAAGAGTTTCAGGTTTTTAATTACCAGGGGAGAGTTATTTATTTGTTATTTATTTATTATTATTTTATAACTTTAACGTGATAAAATTTCTTTATCATTTTTTGCAGCATTTAAAATGATTGAAAAATTATAGTTTCACTTCTCCAAAAAAGCATCTACAAACGAGATTTTAATAATTTTTCTTTTATGATTATTTAAAATTATTTTATATTTAATATGGTTAGAGGCGCACATAATATGGTTACTTTTTTTAATATAATTAGGATAATTTTGTGATAGATAACGTATTTGTGGAACTAATTTGGGGTGTTTTATAAACCCTTCAAAAATACATTACACTGGTTTGAAGGAGGGGCTGGAGGGGGGGAGGGTCAACCAGTCAAAACCAGTGCATAAAATATCTGGTAAGTAATAATTTAAAAAAAATCTCAAAACCAGTCTAATTAAAAACCCCTCAAAACCAGTGAAGCTTTTGCTAGTCGAACCTTCAACTGGAACTAGGGAGAAGAGAATAATAACTTCTTTGATTTCTCTTTTCAAACCCAAACAATGGTCTTCTTCTACTGCATCTTCATCCATCTTTTAATCTTCTTCCAACATTGGTTCACTGGTAATGTTTCACCTCATTTATTGTTATTAATAAACCTCACGTTTCAATTTATTTTAATTTGATAAAATTCTACCTTGTAAACCTCAGCTAAAATGATAATGAGTTGAATTTTTGCTTGGTTGTGTTAATGGAAATGCTTGTGGGGTGGTTCATGGACTGTACTCTGGCTGGGCAGTAGCAGTAGGTTGGAGTATATTTGGTTGTGTTTAAATTAAAATTTTAGCTGGATATTACAATGCATGTTCGGCTGGGTTAGCTTTGAGAATTGGCTGTTTTGTGATTTAAAATGTGCTGGAAATTTAGGCAGTAAAATGCTGACTGGAGATTAGATTAAACATGCATGTGTGGCTTTTTATTAATATTTATGATCTTGGATATTGAGTGGTGATGTTTATTAGTATGCATGTTAAAATTGAATGGATGTGCATGTGATGTTGGTGATAAAAGGAATTTATTATTATTAATTTATTACGTGTTTGTTTTGTTGCCTTGTTGGTTAACTAATGTTAATTACTGGTTTTTTCTTGATGTTTAATTGAAAACCACATTCTTTTACTTGAATTTAAGTTGTGTTAGTTTGGTAAAGAAAGAAAATAATGAAGTTTTGTTTGGCAAGTAAGAAAATTGATGAAAATGATCAAAAAATAAGTTTCATGTTCAATTCAATTACTTCATGCCGGATTTAACTGAAATGTCTTACGCCATGCGACAAATAGTCTTCCTCGCCAATCTATGATGAACCTTGAACTGGCTTATAATTATTATCCCAAACAAGACATGAAAAATATGTCATATAATCGCAATCAGCAGAAGGCGTTAAACCAAAACCTTTGTGATCTTTTTACCATTGGGATATCTAGCATTGGCTTCCAGATTGTCTCAGCAAATTTCCAAATAAACACTCATCATATTACCTCTTTTGTGATCGAGCACTTCCCATCATCATCAGGGCTCTGAAAGAACTTATGAATTTCCGAACAAAGAAACACCATAGAACTAGTTGATTGCGTCCAAGTTTGATTTCCCAACTCGAACATTATTCAACAATCTGTCTTGGACATTCACAGAGATAATCTCCTTGTCCCTGAGTAATTTTATAATTTTCTCTGCTCCCTC